TATGGAGTCATACATGGAGTCATTACTGATCATCCAAGTTTAGAAGAAATATCTTCACTCAAAAAACCTAAATTTGAGATAGAAATAATAGCTAGAGCTCATTATAAATGTCATCGTTGATGCCTTAATCAAATAAATAGCAGGCAATGCAAACGAGTTGGTTATCACGAGCAAGACTGGGAATGATTGGAATTATCAACAATCAATTCCATTGATGAAAGTTTCATTACATTGAATCAGACGACAATTTAGATAATATAATGGTAAAATACATCTGTGATGTTTTATATACTATCATTGATAGATTAACCAAGTTCGTGTACTTCTTGCCTATTGGGATGAGATTGCATAAGTACATGGCATGCCAAATTTTATGGATGAGATTGCAAAAGTACATGGCATGCCATATTCAATCTGTCAAGAAGTTAGCAAAGTTCTATATGGATGAGATTGCAGAAGTACATGGCATGCCAAATTTTATGGTTTTAGACATAGAAGGCAGGTTGCATCCATATTATGGAAAAAGATTCATGAAATTTTGGTTAATAAACTAACCTTCAGTACTAAATTTCACATTCAAACTGATAATCAATCATGAAGAACAAATCCAATTTTGGAAGATCTACTCCGATTACATATCTTTGATTATGAAGGATGTTGAAAATCACATACGCCATTAATAAATTTTCTTATAATAGAAATTATCAATTAAATACTGATATGGCACTATATGAAACACTTATAGAAAAAAAATAAAAAAATAGAATCCCTCAATGTCCGGCAAAAACAAATGAAAGAAAAGTAATTTGTGCTGCTTGGTAAATAGTAGATTGGAAGCTTACAATATAAATAATGAACATATTACTATGTTAAGCACCGATTCGTAAAGTTTGATTTTAGAGAAGTATTTATTAAAATCAAACCAATGATAGATGCGCAGTGTTTTATTAAGTCAAGAAAGCCAAGCCATTATATATAAAAACCTATAAAATTATTGAAAAGATTAAAAAAATGGCTTACAAACTAGCATTACCAGCACATAAGTAAGAGTGCATAATATCTTTCATATCTCTAACATACATAAATACATAGTTGTTGATTTCAGTAAAGTTGTCACATATTCCATAGACATAAAACTTGATAAAAAATATATAGAACCAAAGTCAATACTGAAATATAAAGTAAAACAACAATGCAATCAAAACATCTCGTTTATATGAATATTATGAAAACAAAGGACATAAGATAAGATAAAGAGTTGATGCATTGAAAGAAATTTGAAAATGTTAGAGCATTATCTACATTTGTTCAATAAAGGCATGATTGCTATTATTATGTATTTTAAAACAAAATTAAATAAAGGAGGGAGATTGTAAAACTCGATTATATATATATATAAATATATATATATAATATATATTTAAAAAGGCCATTATAAAAGCCTCCGTCATCCCTCATGCGCCTAAGAATTCGAGTACCGGACTCTACACTCAAGTGGAACCGAACCCCAGACCACAAGGGACTTACAACTGACAAGCAGATGCCCGACCAACTGTTTTGATTACGCGACGCACATACACATACAGATATATATATATATATATATATACACACACACACACACACATGTATATGTAGTTTTTTTTAAAAAAAGCCCATGGGCTAATATTTAAAATGAAAAAGATACAGATAAATTGTATGAGTGGGTCCAAAAAGACACCATAACTACACGGTACAACACACACAAAAAAGTAAAGAAACATATAAGACCAAAAACTAAAACCACCAAAATGCGCAAAAAGTTAGGGACGACCCAATTTCCCCACTGGAAAATAACTTGACATAAATTGCCCAACTTGCAGGGGGGTAGAGATAAAAGCTTACTTTTAGAGAATTTATTAGAAAAAGGAATATAAAAAAACTAGGCAGAGTCCCTTAAACTAGATATGACAATTAAGCTTAGAGAGAATTAGCTCATAGAAAGTTAAAAATCTTTGAGAATAAGCGAATAAAAGCTCTAAGATTTAAATTTGCATGCTTGGGAGCCTGCTCCCTATTTGCAAGAAAAAAATAGAGATAGGAGTCGCAGAAAGGGTTACAAGAAGTCGTGAATATTGAGATGTCATTGCCATATGACCTTGCAGCTAAGTGGCGAATGAAGAGCTTCCTTTTGTATACACTATAAACTAGTGACAAGCTCAGGATGAACTATCATGTTCTCTTAGATGAATACACTTGGTTGTGATGGACTGGTATTTGATTAAATATCGAGTTTAGGAGTTGGATTGGTGACTTATTGATCATCAAGCAAATTGCCTATTTCAAGGCTTTAGGTGAATTCCTGGTAAGCGGGTTTTGAGTTATGAGTGGTTCAAGTTGGTTAACGAACCAATAGTTACTTGAACACGGCCTAAGTTTGCATAATGAATTGATTACTGTCTCAAAAGAATATGGATGTATAATAAATTTTATTGGTAGGAAATATCAAGTATCCATTTCCCTTAGCCAATCCATAACAGAAAAGAATAATTAAAGTCCAGAATTCAATACAAACTTAATTTCATGCCAAACATATGTTTGAAATTTTAGCTTGCATCAAGGAATTTTCATTGGAAAGCTTCCATTACTCATATACTAAATCATAATTGTTGAGCATTTAAAATTCTACAAGTTTGAAGATCATTGGAATGGCTTTATTGCATAGTGCATATATCAAAATAAAGAAGACAACAAGCTTGAACTAATTCACTCATTGGAACAAGGATAAAATGTTTTATTTTTAAGGTCTTGGATATTTAAATTATGAGTATACTATGTCACCATTCCTAATAAAACGTAATAGACATGGCAACATCAGATTTAGTGTAGTAAATATCATAAATCATCATCATGTAACACAAAACAGGGAATGCATATCTGTTATCCATATCCATTCTTCTTAAGGGCCCATTTGGGGCAGCTAATTTGGTGCGGTGGCGTTTTGAAAACGCATCTGACCTGTTTGGGTAAACTTTATTTTGGCAACTTATGCGTTTTGAAAACGCTGAAAATAGCATTTTCACACCGCACCTATCTAGGTGCAGTGACAGCTTTCCAACAACAGTTTGGTTTTTCCAAAAAAATAAAAATTTGTAATAGCTACCGCACTTAGCTTATTAGCGGATTATTTTTAATCAGCTTATCAACAGATTATTTAATAACTTGCGGCTGCCCCAAACAGACCCTAAGTCATTCTATAGAAATTTGATTAAAAAAACATAGTAACCATTTAAAAATTGGAGTGCATCTTCCATTACTACAAATAGCTTCACTCACCATACCTAGAAGAGCTTGAGTAAAGCAAATATTCATAGATATGGGAATGCACTTTCCAATAAGGAAGAATACATCCATTTTACCTTATTTAGATTTCCATAACGAAAACAAATATAAGACCTAAACATCCATCCTCTTTTAACATTGTTAAGTCTATAGAGAAACAAGATTCATCCAATTCCATAATCATTTGATTATCCATCAATGGAAGAAGAAATGATTGATGGATGAATTTGATGGCATGAGACAAGAGTTGTGATTTTCTCTATATAAAATATTCCAAATAACCTAGAGTTAAACATATTGATTTGATCTTAATTTTAGATCATATTCGATTGATCATTTGAATGGATGAATTGCAGGGTTAAAATGAAACTTCTTTTTTGTGTTTTGTAAATCACTCAACTATCATTATTCCCAAATCCCAATGCATGTTCGTTTGATGATTCAATATAATAGCTATGAAAATAAAGATGAAACCTTGCATTTGTAGGTCATAAGATGCCTTTAATTTTAAGAAAAACTGAGTAGGGGAATGACTATTTGCTTTATGAGAACCAAATTTAGGGCAAACTCATCATAAATGCAACTAAAGTCAAGTGAGGTGCCACTAGTTACTCGGCATTCATCGTATTACAATTAATTCAAACTCCATGTTTCATTCAATAAGCCAAAATAGGCTTGAAAATAAGTCATAATAACGAAAATATAAGGTGAAGAGCAAGGCACATATGAGCAAATAAGTCCACAAAACAAGTTCAGTTTAGTTTCACTTCATTCCTACTTAACCATTTGAAAAGCAGCTTTCATTTGGAAGGAAAATATGTTTAAGAAAACACTATTTTGCTAATGTGTCTTCTCAGTAACTTTTTTTTATCATAGAAACTGACTAGTAAAGCCGCTCTTGTTTCCATGATATTGAGATTCGATTTTATACATCATAACAAAAGTGTAACATCTACACAATAGTGACAAACAAAACTTACCAATGCTACAAACAAAACATAATCTTAGCCAAGTAAAATAAAATAAAATAACCCCAAGTTCCCAACTTATGCAACACAAGGTTCTAACTTCTAACATGATTATAATCAAGCATGTGGATACTATGGATATTTGAATTTCACTTCCTTATCTGAATGAATGGCTAACTCTATCACATCACAAGATTATCAAGATCAATCACAACATCGATCAAGAAAAGTTCCAAGAGTGTGATCGTAAAACATGTAATAAAGCTTCGCCCTTCTTCCCATTAGCCACCCTTCGTCTACAAAACTTGCAAAAATAATACACACATCAATTCCCGGCAAAACCCCATCCTTCTTCTTCCAAGAACACTTAAGAAATACTAATCTCCAATCTCCTAAAAGTTCAATTACGGATTTAGCTGACCAAAAATCATCCGATATGCATTCCCGGTCTCTTCAATGATATCACAAGTAAGAAGAGTAGCATCCCATCAAAGCTCCATAAAGCAACCACACTTCATTGTCACCGACTCACCACTTAACTCGAATGCTTAAATGAATAAATGAAACATTATTGGAAAGCTCGTCAGTCAAAGAGGCAAAACAAGTAAGCAGAATGGCATTCCAAGAAAAACAACATCAAAACCTACTGATTTTTCCTCCAAGTTCGTAAAGAGCTTAAGAGATATAAAGAGCAATTAAATTTTAGGATACCTTTCTTGAAGGAATGCAAGGGCAGAGTTCGCATCGAAGCCCGATTGAATAAGGTAGGTTTGTACATCCTCAACAAAAGAGGCCGCCGGAATGCCCCTTCTCTCTGCGGGATTGCCGGATGATGACGAAGTAGAAGCAGAAGCCATGAACTAGCAGAGATCAAGGGACGAAGGTTCGAGGCTGGTGGTCTAACAAATCATTAAACACACACACAATATATATAGGGTTTTTTTACATTGATTTAGGATAAATAATATCAAGGATGCGTATTTTCTTTGAAATAACAGGAAGGGGGCAGTTATATACCGAAAAAAATTAGGTTTGGATTCCGGAGGTAGCTTCACATGCGAATTTTCAGTAATATATCTTCATAATTGTAAATAAAAAATATTAAAGTGGAAAAACAGACTCTAAAATAATTCTGAAATGACATCGAAATAAATTCTGTGATTTCACTTTACTAACCCCGAAATAATCTCCCCGAAATAATATTGTGGAGATTATTTGGGGTTATTTCTGGGTTATTTCATAGTTATTAAAGAGAAACTTATATATTTCACTTCAATAACCAATAAATAATCCCGAAATAACCTCAACGATGTTATTTCAGGGTTATTGAAGTGGAACAACGGATGTTATTTCGATGTTATTTTTGGGTTATTGAAGTGAAATATAAAAGTTTCTCTTCAATAAGCTCGAAATAATCTGCGGTTCCACTTCAATAAGCCCGAAATAACATCCACAATGTAGCACATGTGGTAGCATATTATTGGAATCTCCATACAGAGCTACGTCAAAAGTCTGGACATACAATTTTTTCATTATATACAAACCCGTCAATTCCTATATATTTACATAACTAAAATTAAGAATTTTTTTTTACATTCGAGCCACTGAAATCTTTCATATTACATCAAAATTATTATCATTTTAACTTAAATATATGAAATAAACATTTACATGCCTAGATAAGGTGGAATATATGTAAAATTCGAAGTTTGGGTATTAGATATGTAAATATATAAAAATTGAGTCATATGATGTAAATATTTCTAAAAAAATAATTATACATAATTATAATATAGTTATCTCGACCAGAAACATTAATTTTCATTTTTTTTTTTTTTTGCAAAAATCATGTTACTCCTCTTGCATGGAAGAAAATTTGTGGTGATAGAGTAATTTAATATCTAATACACACACACATAAGAAAAAAATTGAAATATAGCAATAAAGCACATTAGGATTTTTTGCACGAAAAATTTTGGAAAGGGAAAAACCCACAAAATCTATCCCAGTCAAAATAATACACTATGTGATTGTAAATATATTGATTCATTATTCTCTTGAATTAGGGAAGATATTATAAAGTTGATAATTATAAATGTAGAATAGTATTCCAACTTTCATGGTTGTAACTGAGCTATGAAAACTATAGTTCGCAGTGAAAATAACAATGACTGTCTGCAAAGGTTGTAATTAATTACTACGAAGACAGCAATACATCATAAATGTTGTGAACGGTTGTTTTAATAACATCAACTTGTTGTAGAGGTTGTACTCAAAAGGCGGAGTGGTAATTGACCACATAAATTAAAATTAATAGTTTTAGAAGCATCAATTGTCCACAAAGGTCGTTATAGGAGAGAGTAATGATAGTAATTGACCATGTAGGCTATAGCGGGTAGCTATAGTAGTAAATAATCACATAGTAATAGTGGGTAGATGTAATAACGTCGGTTGACTGCAACCATAGTGAATGGTTGTGATGACCACACTCGGCCTTGTAGATCATAATGAGGAGATATTGTAGTATTAGTTAGCCATAAAGGTCGTAATAAAGGGTTGTGATGACAATATTCGGTCATGTAGGTCGTAATGGGCGATGTAATAGTGTTAGTTGACCACAAATGCCACAGTGAAGGGCTATGATGACAGTAGTTAGCCAAGTAGGTTATAGTGAGGAGCTTTGTTGACCTCACTTTTGGTTGAGGTTTAGTTTTTGCTCTTTAGTAGCCTAAGGTCTAGCCAAAGGACTTTCCTGTTGATTATTCCTAGAGGACTAGAAAAAGAACCCTCACTATTAGAAACTCTAAACCATTCTTTTCTCAACTTGAAGTTCCATATACAAGTTTAACCTCTAGCACTTAGCAGGTGGGGTCATTATATGAGAGCTCATTAAGAGTCCCCATAAGACTGCTTGACCTTAGGGTTGACCCTGGATGTTGGTCTGGGGCTAATTCACTCACTTTTCACCCACATTCACTCATAACCCTAAACCCAAACTTGTTAACTTTAATCCCTTTATCTTTTGGGACACTTGTGTAAATGGTCCCCTAGACCCACTAGCCATAGGCTAGGGTTTAGATAAGACCAGTACATAGAGGACCCAAATGAAGATTCCATTGATTCATAGCTCAAATCGGGTGGTTGGCATCTCAATTTCACCAAAATATCCAACTCAACCTTTTATCCCTGAAACCAATTTGGACTCTTCAATTGAACTCAATTTGATCCCAATTTCACCCAATTTCAATTCTAAATTTAAATTCAGCATGATCAAACTCAATTCAAACTAAGTCCAAGCCTAATTGATCCACATTTGAATCTAATTTCAACCCAAATCCAAAATTTTAAATTTGCCCCAATTTAGCCATGTGCCAAATTCCACCAAATTGAATGCCAAATCCCAAATTTGGCACGCAATTAATGTTGAGAACTCTTCGTGATATTCCCCTAGAACATTTTCAACCATCAATTTGGACGTAACCCAACTCTAGCCCAACCTAAACCCAAATCTAACCCAACGTACCCGAATTTGTCAAATGTCCAAAATCCCTCAAGTTGACCCTTCAAATCGATCCAAAATCATTCCAAATATTTTCTAAATCTTTCATGACAACTATCTACACCATCTTGGCCAATTAATTGAGTTTGAACCAAAATTTTTGCGAGAATCGAGTTTGACACTTTTTTGACTCGATCGTCGACGAGATTGTCCAAACGACCCCGGATGATGAAACATACAGCATCCACGCGTCCGGAGCGTCGAAATTAGCCAAGGAGGACACCCACTTTGATGTGGTTCGTGCACGCACGAATTGGAGAGTAAGTATTAAAAATTATAAAATATAAAAAAAATAATATCCTTTTTCACATAAATCCCTAAATCCTAAAATCCTAATTCCCTAAATCTCTGCTCACGCCTCCTCTCCCATTCCTGTTCGCAACCGACCCAGCCGAGCCTCCCTCCCGTTCACGAACCCTCGCCCGAAGCTCCCTCTCAGTTGCGGTCCCTCGAGCCACAAGCCTGCGCCCATCTACTGTTGCATTCCTTATCGCCTGCTCCCCTCTGCTTGCTCTCCCATCGCACGCCTGCGCCATCCCGCGATCTTATTGCCTGCTCACTGTTGCTGCGATTTGGATGATGGTTCCTTGTGTTTGATTCACCACAGGTAAGTTCAGGGAAGCTTTCTGCTCCTTTTTTTGGCTATAAAAGCCTCTCTCTTGGGGCGAAAAAATTTGCGTGCCATAGAAGTACGCAACGCTTTGGGTTATACCAACGGTGCAAGGGGTTACATCTGCGGTGTAAACCCTTGTAACTTCTCTGTAATTTTCTGTAACCTATGTGTAACCTCTTAATATATTATAACAGAAGCGCGAAACTTATTTTAGGGTACAGGTAGATTACAGAAAATTACATGGAGGTTACAAGGGGTTATACCGTGGATGTAACCCCCTTGTACCCTCGGTATAACCCCTATATCGCACGCAGCGCTGCGTACATCTATTGCACGCAAATTTTTGGGTTGGCGGAAACTTTTGGAGAAGGAGGAGGTGCTGCCGGATTTTTTTGGGTTGGCTTGAGCTACTTGTTTGCTCGACATTTTGGTCGTTTCTCTGCCTTGTTGTTTCACTTGATACTTTTGTTTGATTGCATATTTGGCTCCCGAGGTATTACATTCTTGTTGGTTTGTGATATTTTGGCTTGGTTGTTCGATACTTTTGAGGATTACTTTTTTTATTGCTGGCTTGCTTGCCCGACTGTCCTTGATTTGGTCTTAATGGTTTTCTCCAACTAAAAAAAAAAAAAGGAGAGAAAATATATCATAAGATGCATGAGTTATTATGTGATCTGGAAGTCTATTCCTTCAGAGGAACATTTCAAATTCGTGGGAGATGATATTCTATCTTTTAAATTTCCTAAAGCCATTCCACTCTTATTTGTTAAAACTGGAAACCCAGAAGTATCGAGAATCATCAAAGATGTTGAAAACCTGCACTCATTTTTTTCTTTAGGGTGGAAATAATCAAGGAATTTTTTTGAAATACTTATTGAAATTTTAAAAGACATCATGAAGCATTCGTTTGCTGTTCATACACACTTCATATAAAAACAAAAGATGTCCGAGGCTATTAAATTTTTGAAACATCTTTGATATTCGAATCTTACTGTAAATCTCTCTCACTTGATTGTCAAGATCTCTAAGCAGTCTTTATTATTTACGGTTCATAATCTATGAAGATGTGTTTATCCAATCTTGCTCTAATGACTTCTTGCCTGGTGATGTGAGTAATCTATCTAATCTGCGTCACTTGGAATTGCCTTGAATGCTTTTTTTTTATTGCACCTGGAGTTGGGAAATTAAGGTCACTTCAAGAACTAAATGAGTTTAATGGTAAGAGTGAGAATGGTTACAGAACTGGTGAGTTGGAACATATGAGCGAATTACGCAAATAACAATACATTTTCTGGAGAATGTGAGGGATGCTACAGAAAAATTACTTGAGAGGTGAAAACTCACATGTTTATTCTTGAATTGGGGACATTTGTTGGTTTGGGGTGTGCTCCTCTCGCTGCCCTACTCGAGACACATCCCGGTGCTTTCTTTTGTCAGATTTGGATTTGTTTCTTATTGCTTCTATTCGGTATACCTGCTGAATTTGAGATTGATGTTTTGTTTAGTGGTAATCTGTAAATCTAATTCATGGCTTATGGAATCTGTAGAAATGCAAAGCAAATTATTCTCATGAATACATTTCATGCTTATGGACATGGTGATTATTCACATACATAGCACCTAAACTTTGATTTTCACGAGTTTTGCATATACCATGAAATTATTATATATTTACATATTTAAGACCCAAACTTCATTTTTTCACATATGCCATTCGAGCCCATTTGGATATCTCTTTATATAAATTGTTGCTCGAGCACTTTGGGAGATGACTTTGACTAATGGCGTTAGTATTTATTGGAAGAAAATAAGAGCTTGA